ACAGAAACTAAAATTGGTGTGAAAAGCAATCCATGGGATTCAGAAGTAGTAAAGATTGCTGAAAATTCTAAAACCTTTTTTGGTAGTATTCTTAAAGTATCGAAAAAGGTATAATGAGTCGGATTTATATCTTATACGCTCCAACAGAAAAACTAATTCTCGAACTTGCTCAGAAAGCTGATGAGCCGAATGATATATCGTATACATTTATCTTTATGATGTTAACAATAGTTTATCAAACTGATTAAGGTGTTGATAATCTTTCCACTCCAAGTTGAATAGACAGAAAGAATAGAGCTAAAAGAGTAAAGCAAAGAGGGAACAGAACTTAGAAGAGAGAAACAGAAGAATACGAGACACCCGGAGAAAATGAGATAGAAAGAGGGTGGAGGTTAAACCTCTGGCAAATGATTTGATTGTCATTTTCAACGACAAAACGGCAGAGAACGGTTGCTTCCCCTCAATTATCAAAATGATTAAAAGCGAAATCTTCATTATAAATTATTTTGGCAGGTTTTTCATAAAAATTTAATGAGAATCTGTAAGGAATAATAGAAATATAATTACATTGCAAGATAATTATAAATAATTACTCCGAAACGCTGTATGCAGATGAAAATCTCTAAAGGTTCAAAGATAACATATCAAGAGATTTGATTGGAAACATTGAATTACTACATACAAACATGTTTGAAAGAACGTTTGGATTAGAAAGTGGTTAGAGATTCAGTAATCATATACGACTTATAGAAAGCTGGTGAAGATGTCAATCAAAGTTGCCAAAAAAGGATGAAAACTTAATTCAATAATAAGGACAAAATTACAAATTTAAGAAATATATGTGTTCAATTACTATAAAACGGCCGGAATTGATAAGACAATTTTAGTTTTTCTCACTCGAAATCTTTTATGGAAATGATAAAGAATCGAAATGTCAAGACGAATTTGCTGGGAAGAAAAAACAGTGGCAAATGGAGACTGGATGAAAAACAAGTAATATTCGCTATCGAAGAGAGAAATTGATAGAAAAAGATCATTTTATGAATAAAATTGACCCAAAGGGGGAAAAGTAAAAATAAAAAAAGTTTGTTTTGATTAAACGATGAGTTTTCGGGAAAAATTGTTGACTCATGTATGTAACATTGAAATGGAGGATAGCCACACCACACATAACAACCATTATCGATTGATAGCCCTCGTGCCCCGATGGCGAAATGTTGTCAACGGAAAACGACAAAGAGACCGCTGCTGAAGAACGAACAGAAGATAGGGAGAAAGAGAGAGAAAGAGAGAAGAGGATGAAAGGAGGTAAGTTGAAAGTAAAAGATTAAGCTAATATCCCTAGTGGATTTTCAGTAACTACTGTTTGATGCCATTGAGCTTACTGGGGTATTTTGTCGTTGAATTTTCGAATTAATTCTTCAGATGAGGAGGGGAATAGTTTACTTTCGGTACTTCAGAATCAAGATGAGAGATAAGAAATTCAGCTGATCTGGAGCTTTATGTCAGCCGTATAATAAGCACACACACAAATCTTGCAACCCAGAAAGATGAAATGTTTGTCCTCATCATTCAAAATTTAATGAGAACAACATCTTCACTCATCTTCATGCCTTTTCTAACTCAGTCTGTTCTTCAGTTTTACATTTTTTGAAAAAATATTTCTTCACCAATCGACAGGCGCAACATTTCAGTTTTGCAGAAATGAGTCGGTAATTCATGAATAAGAAAGTTGGCCTCTGCCATTTCAATTCTCTTTATTGTATTTCTCCCTTCTACTCATTTAAAAGTAACAATAGCTATATGATACTTAGGCTCATTTCCAAGTTTGATGGTTGAAATGACTTCTTAACGCAAATAAGGTTATGCCAAATTATTTTGTCTCCAAATAAATTTGAACGAGTGAGAGTACGGGGGCGGTGTGTTGAGAAAGGGCAATGTTAGAAAATTCAAAGATTCCAAATCAGAAACGTATATTTTACAAATTTGTGAGAAATTTGTTGATTGTACTTAAACATTCTGTGGACATACAATCATTGTGACTTAATAAAATAAAATAAAAAATATGAAACGAATAATGGAATCTGAACAATAGACGTCAAGATGAAAGAATTTGAAACAATGGACAACTATTGTACTAAGAAATCTACGGCAGGGAAAGACGAGACACGACAAAAATGAAGCTGATGAAGTAGGACGGGAAAAGTGAGATGAAACAATCGTTCGATTGCCCAGAATAGTAAAAGAGTGAATTATGCAATAAGTATTATCAAAACTTCAATATTTAGTTTAGTCTTTGAATTTCAAATTAAATTCAAACAACGTGCTTACTGTGAACGTGTTGGAATCAAAGTTTTTGACTAATAAGGACAAATACCCATGAGCAGCATGTGTGACTGGCAGCTTAATGCTGGAACAGCAAATAGTCCCGTATCGGACATTAATTAAAAAGCTCTAGAGAGAAAGAAAGAGGGGGAGAGAACATATAGAGAGACAGAAAGAGAATATAAAAAGATAGGAATGTGATGAATAAAGAGGTTGATAGAACAGAAATAGTTAGAAACAAGCAGAGAATGAGACGACACATAGAAAGACTGAGGAATGGCCGGCAAAACGATGTGAGGAGTACGTCTCTGTGTATTTGTGTCTGTGTGTGTATGTATGTTGGGCTGCTATTTGTCGAAAGCGCTCCCTTCAGTTCCTTCGGTCTGTCCAACTCAGAAAATAGAAGGTAGAGAAGAAGAGAAAGCTGTTGAAATGAATTTTAATCAAAAAAATGTATCTTCTAGCCAGTAACTGAGAACAGTTTGGAGGACAGAGAAGGTACGGATGAAACTGAACATATTAAAATGGCTACCAAAAAGCAATAAAAGTAACAAATGGAATCCGCAGAGAAGCGGATGCTCAAATGAAACAAACAAGTTTGAATGGATAAAAAATGAAGAGGAATAAAAAAATCAGATCTGAATTAAGAGTTTTTCGAAAAACGAACACAATAAGCACAAGAGAACAACTCTTTTTCGTAAATATACCCTACGGCAAGTGAAATCAGCCGGATTAAATCTATTCTTTGGTTTATCTTCACCTATTCCAGTCTTTCAAACCCCCACTTTCATTAGAACTTTTAGTATATTACACATCTTTTCAGAAAGGTTCGAAAAAATACATGTTGTCTCTTATGCAAAATGAACGCCAACCATTTTTAAAGATGATGAGAAAAACAAAAAAGTCAGGAAATCTATCCGCCCCTAATTTCATGTCAAAAGTACAGAGCAGAAAAAAACCCACGTCACCAACTCTTTGCACGCTTGGTATGTTTATTTCCTCGTTTGCTGACAGTGGGAGCGGTTGTTCATGCCGAAAAGAATAAAATACCTTTTCGTTCAATTCCTATTCCTACCTTTTTGTTCATTTACGTTTAGGAGAATATGTACGCTGCTTGCAAGGAAGAAACTGGTTTCGGCAGTAATCGATTCTGACATGGCAACCATCAGATTGGAATTGAGATTTTACCTTCCTTTTGAAGCCAAGGTAAATATGAGAGAAAGAGACAATTTTTTTTAATAATCTATATTTGCTAATAGATTAAGCTGATAACTTACGACTGAACGAAAATCCGCTTAGAAACGACTACTTATCAGAAGATTTTGATACCAATAATAACTGATCAAATTGACACTCTCAGGTTTCACTCAACAACTAGTTCAGAATTCAAATAAAAAAAGAAACAGACGTGGTTCTGACTGTTTTTGAGAGTAGCACTTGCGCAGTTTGTACACCGTCATTAGAAACAAGAAAATATAGGGTTCAGAGCCACAGGTTGTGAGCATGACTGCAGAAACCTAGCTTCAATTTCAACTTGCATTGCAGGTCTAGGTAAGTTGAAATTTTTCATGATGCTATCACGAAGAAATGATCTATAACCTATCTTTAGATGTAATTACAAACAGTCGGCTTTTTGGGGAGAGTACGATTCCAATTTGTTCTGTTAGACACAAAAAGCTTTTCATCAAATTGCAGGCAATGTAAGCGCTAACTATTCCTATCTATCATTCTGTCTTGAGATTTAATCAATTTCTTTACAACAGGCTCACATTTATACTACAGCTTCTCAACAAAAAAAACGCTGTGAAAAATCGTATTTTCAATAGAAATTTGAGCGCTCTGAGATTCTCAAGATCATAATCTCATCTGAATATAGTATATTACTCCCCCACAATTTATGCTAGATCGAGTTTTTAATTTGAAATTGGGTGATTGCAAATAACGCTGAGCTCAGAACACTAAAACGGAGAATTCCAAGATTAAGAATCCTCATGTTGTATAGCGAGTTTTGAACCTAAAAATTGAAATAACATTAATTTTTATTTACTTCCTTTCAGCGTTCATTGACTAGCTCAATTATGAAGTATTATGACTCGGGAACAATTATGAGAAGTTTATATAGCCCAATTAATTCCATGTTTAATTAGATAAACTAGCTCGAATTTCCATTTTGAATTCGAAATATATTCTGGAAATAGCCAAAATATAATTAGGATGAGTAAGTGGAAATCTACTTTTGAGATAGACAACGCCTTTATATCCGCGAATATTTATCTTAACTAATTATTACACGTCTCCATTTTGATTAAGTTATTTTAAAATTTGATGAAAACTGAAAAGACTTTCTGAATGCACAAAACAAATCTCATAATTACATTAATATACTGAATAAATATGACCAGACTCTCATATTAATAACCCTTACGATGACTATTCGTTAAAGTTCATCTTTCCCATCACTCTCCTCCTCCGTTTCCGCTTCAATATTGCTGGGCTCCTGGACTACAGCTGAAATCAGAATTAAAAATAAATATTCTAAAATTTTATGAAAACAGAAATAGTTTATTTATACTCGTACATAACAATGAGAACCCCATATAATGATAACTCGGAAGGAAATCCAAGTGTTTTCGTGAGCAGTTTTAATTATTTCGAAATTGCATTCTCTATTTCACTCAGAGTCCCAGTAGTTGACTCGCTTCATCAGGAATACTCTTTGGATTGACAGTTACTTCGATAATGCATATTAAGATCACAGCTATCGTCGTCAAAACCATAAGCAACACTGATTTTCGCCAAATTACTAAAGTGATGATCGCAGCTAATGACGTCATAGATATAACACGCAATAGGAGATCGGGGCGTATAAATGCGGACGCAGGAGAAGCTGTAAGAGAATTAATCTCAAGAATATTCAGAATACAGACACCACAGCACTCAACACAACAGTGAATCAAAAAAGCACAATTACCCTTTCACACATGAATATTTCACTTAACAACATTTATCAACTAACCTTCTATGTCGAGTTCGCAAACATTGGTTTCAGAGTTTCTCTTATACCCTTCCTTACAGCTGCAAGTAAAGGATCCGATATTATTGGAACATTCCTCGTTCTCTCCTTTACAAGGTGATGTCTCAGATAAGCATTCATTCACGTCTGAAAGTAATATAACGTAACTCTTGAATGCTCGAACAAGCACATGCACTAAGCAAGAAATACTTCAGTGATGACATGAGTCGAATCATTTCTAACCTATGCATCCGCTCTCTGGATCCTGTGTATATCCTGTACGACATCGGTTACAATCTTTTGGGTTCGGACCGCCACAACCACCTGAACACCCATCAAAACATTCTGAAAGAATATCGTTGTTCATTATAATCCATCACATCTAACTTGTGCATTTAACAGAAGCTTCAGTTTTCACTTCCTCGTAGTAATCTGCATCACAATGTCTACACATATGCCCAACGTATCCAGCATCGCATTTACATTTGCCTGCTCCTTTTCTACTTCCGTCACCCTGAATAATAAATTCACTTGATCTTGAAGAAAATGATTCGTCTTACATGGCATTTGCCATGTCCGAAACAAGCAAAGGCTCCTACTTCAAGACCTGGGCATTTTGTACACTCAGTACCAAAATGTCCATCAGGACAACAAACTAAAAAAAAATTAAACAGTCGTTAACGGGAAGTACCCTACTTTTCAATTGTTCTACACACAACCATCCCGACATATTGAAGTCTTGATGATTATAATAATAGCTTTCTACAGTTTCTTCATTGTCTTCCAGTAAAGCAGAGCACTACAAAATTAAGATCAAAAAAAAAATCATATCAACCACGTACCTTAAACTCTAGATCAGTAATTCCATTATACTTATCAGTGTTACTCAAACTTCTCTTCTTACATATTCCTTCCATTATTTCTATGAGCCTAGTTTCACTTTAAAAGGAATTGAAAGCAGATAAGGTGTGGAAGAACTAACCTAGTCGAATACTTTCCTAAATTTTTCTCCTCCCATGCTGTATCACCTCCAGCGAAATGATGTCTACTTGTTTTCAATAAACCCTAGGAGGTAAGATGAACATTAGGAAGTTATAATAACACATACCGCTTGAAAAGTATCCACTAAAAATTGACATTGCAGACATTTATCATTTTTGATATCTACTTCCACGCCAAAAGCGAGAGAAGTTAATAGGGTTAAGTGAAGGACAAGCTTTCGAACCATATAACTAGCCTAGAAAGAATCAATTACTGAGAAAAAACCTTTCTAAACGAACTATTGATTCTCAGCTTAAACAAATACCCACTCCTGCTAGCAGATAATGCACAAAGGCGTCGCGCAGTACTTCGGCGCCAATTCAAAACTAAATATATTTCCTGTATATGTCACTTTGAAAGAAGATAAATATGGAAACATTATCATTAAGTTAAGAATGGTAAAACTATTATTCCACTGGGTAGATTCAATTATCAACACTAGTTAGTTCTTTGCTCAAAAAATTTGTTTCGTTCCAACTACTCAACGAACTCGGTTTCACTCTTCAAATTTGATTTCCTCCTCATAATAATGAGTTATAGCGTGTGTATCATGAATATTTGAACAGGACGAATGAAATGAACATTAACAAAAAGCTTCAATGTATTCTAGAACTCCATCAGAGATTTTCCGAAACTACCGTTTGACGCAACTAAATCTAATGTTAAGGCTTCACATCTGTTAGACTGTCTGTTACAGAACGTAATTATGTGATGAGCGTTGGAAGAAAACCTGTAATTTTGTATTAAATTTTTCATATAGTGTTTGGATTACTAATATTGATATGTTTTCGGAACTGCGAGCAAAATATAATATTGATTCCTATGTTTACGATTTTGCTACTAATTTTATATTCCATATTATACACTTTATTACAATAATATTTCGTTTCTATCGTGAACTGCTGACTAATTTTGGAGGATGGGTCGGACTTTTTCATTTCCAATAGGCAATTCGTTTGAAGTTGAGTTCAAACGATATAGAGTACCTCATTAAAAAAATTCATATCGGTTACCATTAGTTTCAATCTCCAACCTCTATCTGTCCTTATTACACAGTGCGTCTCGGCAAACCCTGACCCGGAATAAGTTTATTCAGGTGAACCGTTTCCTTCTTCTTTCCTCTTTTCTTTCATAACTTTCTCGAATCTCCGTTCCATTTTCTATAATCTTTCTTCCCATCATCCTCTGACACTTCGCGCTCAATTCGGGAGTTTTTGCGAAGCTTGATGTTTTTTCAAATACTTAGCGAAGCGTTTGACATCTAATCTTAGTAATCCTTTTTCCGGATTAAACTAATGAATAATAGGAACTCATAAGTGAAAAGCCATCTGTTCATTTAATTGATGGGTGCTTGTCTCTCAATCTCACGTCAGTACAAATATGGTCAGGTTAATTTTCTCTGTTCTTCTCTGCTCCGCACTGTCTATGCATCTTTGAGCTACGATGTGAGAGGAGAAGCAGATATTCGCGTCCTATCACGAACGGCCTCAGGTCGACAATAACAAGCTCGTACAGCAGGCTTTGAGTGTTTTCTTTCAATATTTCAACCTATATTCGAACAGGACACCTATAAAGATTTTCCTGCACACCTTTACAATGGAACTTGATAATTTGTATACTCCGTTTCATTATCATGAAGGGTTGCCATCATTGACCTTCTTAACCAGTATTCCTTACTTCTTATCATTTTTTTTATCACGTTTTGTTACTGTTCCGTCTTAATTTCGGGATAGGTACGGGGTCGATATAAATCTCTCCAGTGTCATCAACATTGTTCGCAACTATCCCAAAGTAGTTTTCTCATACTTTTTGATATTACATCCTATCGCTTTGATTTTTCAATTACACCAATGTATATACCCACGTATAGGTCACTTTTTGTGGAATGATTGTTAAATTCCCCTCCTAGCCTCATCTGTTCTTTCAACACCCATCTTCCTCATCCGATTATCATCTGGTCATCCATGTTCCGCTATTCCCTGAATTTGTATTACCCGCAAAAGTTCTACCAAAACCTCATCATTACAATGCTGAACATTTTATTCTAACTATTTCCACAGTTGTTTCCTTCCTTCATAAAAACAAAGTTGGAATTCTGTTTGAGCACACTTCTATACACTCGCGATACTTACCTCATAACGATTTCCTGTTTCCGGCAGAGTTCGCTAAAGAGTGCACCTTCTGCATTCAGCTAATCCTACCATCTCACAAATCGAGATTCCAACATGAATTTCCAGAATAATTCTTATAGATAGAAATGAAATGTTCCGTTATTTTCCCATAAAGGTAATTTGATTCACACCATCGACTTTCCGACTCGTTTCTTTTACAACATTACCTTTTCTTGATGATTCATAGTCCATATAAGGTAACACAATATCTTCAGCAAGTTTAAATAGAATTTTTGAACTTGTATCAGTTTTCAGAACTTATGTAGAGCAGCTGCTTATTGTCCATTTGATTGAATCCCTATGACTTTTTTCAGTGTTTTACCAAAGCATATTGAGGTTGATAAATTATTCATATCAACTTCTTCATAATGTTCTAACATAGAAAATTCGTTCCAAGGATTCATTATTAGACTATTGAAATACATTTTTGAAGTTAAAACGCAAGGTTAAAAGGGTGTGTCTTCAGATATTCCCTATTCTTGCTAGGATTTATGATTCTGAAACTCTTTCCTCTTTACTTCATTCATATTCGGCCTTCAGATGTTTCATATTATTGTTTTGGCCTGAACCACTTTTTTTCAATCTTCACTCTTTCCTCCAGTTACACACGTTACTTCTACCTTACTTTAGAGTTAGACATGGCTCATAAAACAATACAATTGTCTAGGTAGATTTTATATTTTTTAAAATGTGGGAGCAACTTTTTTTCATTCACGTCAAATTAGCATGCCTACTTTTTGTCATTTACGCGCACACTACTATGGGCTGACTCAATCAATTTCATTTTCGGTTTTTTAGCGAATGCAGTCGGTTGTCTTTTTATTCATAATAAGTTCCAAACTATTTTAAGTTGTTGTCAGATAGCATAGTAGAGATGTATATATATATATATATATATATATAAATATATATTACTATATATATATCATGATCTAGATAATCGATTCACTAACCAGCTTATTGTGCATACAATGAAAGCAGAGATGAGATGGAGGATGAATTGAAAGCAATGTCCAATAGAATATGGTAAAGAGAGGAAAAATAAAGAGAATGAGAAGATAGTCGGTGAGAGAAAGAGAGTGGTGTACTGCGAGCTGGCTAAGCCCGTACAAATATGTACACTTCCATATATTGAAAACCATATGGATGGCTTTTCTTCGCATTCATCTTTCACTTTCTCTCTTTACGCTTCATCTTCTTACTGTTTCTCTTCATGGCTTCTTGTTGTTGTTGAGAACCTAACCTAGATTGTGCTCTTTTCTCTCACATTCTCAAATTCTCTTTCGAACAACTGTATATGTAAACATTCTTTGGGAGCCTAATTTTATGCTATATTTATAAACGTTGTGTTTCTATAAGTTCATTGCCATTTTCAACTTCTTTTCAACTCCTCTTTTTTGAGTTCTTCTTCTTCAATGATGTATTATCGTTCTGATTTAGATACGAACTTTATCAGTAAAAGTTTTAACCCTATCATATGCACACTTTCAAATTTTTAAGAAGAAAAGTGTTCAGTCTATACTTCGATCATTTCTTCATTAAGAATCCTCCAAATGGTTTGTGAACTTTAAGTTAGTTCTTAATTTCCCTGAGGACCTCACCATTCATACTATTTCTACATAATCGAAAGCCAGTTTTTACTTTTTTCATCTCCATTTCCTTATACTCGCTTTTGATCAATTCAATTTAGTCTGCAATGTTAATTATGACTAATATTCCTATAATTATTCTTTTATTTCCACCATTACCTGCATAACCTCTGTTTGTCTTGCATTTACTTTGAAATATGAACTTAATGATTTTGCATTATGTTTTTGAAGAGTTTTGTTGAGCACGTTGATGTCTCTATACTTCACAACTTTTTTTCAATCATAATAGGTGTAGGTGTGTATTCGAATGAAAAACAAATATAAATATTGAAGAAGAAATAGATGAAAATTCAAATGATCACAGAAATATTACCCTGAAAAGGCAACAAGAGACCGGTTTGCATTGGAAACTGACTGAATGACTATATAGTTCTTTGATTTTAATAATGAGATGGCAATACTTACTAATAACACCTGATGTATAATCCCTGCTCATTTTCTGTCTTGATTTCCCAACTGAACTAACTTTTCCCTCTCTCACCTCCTCTCTGTAAATCTATTTCTCTTGTTCTCTCCTCCCAATGCCCCATTTTCCTCAGCACTCCTGTTGTCTTCTGCTCTTTATGCCTTGTTCAGGATGTGTACAGTGTAATTTGTGAGATCAGCTTACTATTCTCTTTATTCGAAATGTTTTTGTTCACCTTCAGAGCATTTGTTGAGAGTTTTTCTTTCAACTTCATGTCCAAAATGTTGATCTCTTCTTTTGTGTACGTTAGTCATTAGCGATACTAACGAAGAACATACATCAAAACTTTCTTCATATGATAAATTATTTTTTCTTTTTTTTCCAATCATTCTGAACTTCGCTTCTCAACTAATAATTCTTTTCATTATCACACATTTATCAAAATGTAACTTTACGTTTCTCTTTTCTTCACATAAAAAAGCATTTTCGAAATAGTTTAAAGTTTATTTTAATGGTGTTAAGGTGAGGAATATTCACAAGTTAAGATTAGAAAATTGAGATGACAATGACCTTCAGTTTCGTGTGATTTTGTCTTTTGCTTCAGTACGGAACATTTTTCCCCACTTCTACTGGTATAGAACAATCATGATGTCTTCCTCTCTTTCTAAAATAGATTGTTTTCATGTTTTCTTCCCCTGACACTTGCTACTTCTTCCTGTATATTCGTTCAAAGCATAAGGTTTCATTTCACCAATTAAATCAAATTATTTCCTTCAATACATCTTATGTTTAATCAAGTTTCCTTTCTAATTGAGATGATCTGGAAATGTTTGATTCTCGTTAGGATAGAAAACATCATCAAAGCTATTTGTCTCTTTTTGTTCCAATTTGTTGGCTTCAATGAGCATTTTGTCGAAGTTCTTTTAGATCAACAAGTCAGTTATGTGTTTTATTTGACATTTTTTACTATTTATATAACTTATTATTTACATAAAATCTTCTTAATCATGTTTAAGAAGTTCTTTTGAGTGTGTGCAGTATGTCCGAAAATCGTTGATCATTAATGACTTACATAATCGATTTGTTCAGTAGTACGCTGATTCATGCGACGTACTTACGTGAACCAGAGTTCACCATAAACTAGCTCATTTTCATTTCATTTGAGCTTCGATGGCAAAACGGTTGTGCTTTTGATATCTCGTAACCGTTAAGACTCTTCGATGTTCCGAGTTTTAATATTTAATACAAAATCTCGTTAATAAGTTTTATTCTACTCCTCATTTGATTCACCAGTTGTATCTTCTGTGGCTACGACGTATAGAGTTCAATTTGTATGTTACCGAATGTTGTCCTCGAGCAATTAACAGCGAGCTGACGCAATTAAATTGTGCTTGTCTCCTTCAGCGCTCGTTTATTTTTACACAATATTGGAATTCGAAAGTGTCATCACACAGCTGTGAAACTATAAGCAGACAACTGAAGATACCAATAAATTAAGCAAGAGAACAACACAAACATAGCTTCGTTAGCTATTCACCAGATTATATTTACAGACGATACTTGTGTCTTTTAACATCTTCACTTAAGAAGATGTAGCGTTCATTCGTTTTAACAATGATTTGCATGCATTTCTTTTAGTTCAGCAATGTTTTTCTTCTTGATACTTCTATTTTCTCTTTCTCTCACGCAGGTACTCTCAGATCTTGCGTTCTATTTCTTATGTCAAATTTGTCTATTGACTTGTGCTCCATTCCTGGCCGTCGACGTCATTTGAATGGTTTCCACTTGTCCTTCTCTTGTCCTTCGTTTTTCGATTTGACAAATGATGAAAAGGAGGCGCTAACTTTTCTTCTGTTCCAAGGATAGTTCATCAGCTCTACTTCAGATTTTACTTTCCGTGAAGAGCTGAATAAGTATTCTTTTTTGATAAGCTTTTCACTAGTATTGTGCTTGTTCTGTTCAAAGTCTTTCGTTGTTTGTATAATTTTATCTGGTTTTTTTGGAATGTTTCATGACTCGGGATCTTAACCAGTTCTACTCATCTCCCTCCTCTTTATAGTTCCGTTGCTCCACGAATGCATAAAATAATCATTAAGGAAATGTGCATAACGGAAGTAGAACTTAACGCATATCAAATCCGCTCTTTAGCACATCGCTTCTGAACATCTTTTTGAACTTGTCTTTGTTCTTGCTAATATGTTGCTCATTCCAATTTCTTTAGGTAAGCCAAAGCATATTAGAGAAAATCGCCAAAGATGGAAGAGGCGAAGAATATGGCATTGCTTTTCTTTATGGACCATCTGATGCAAAAGAATGGTCGAAGAACTATCCATGACCTTTCTTGCCAGTTTGGAGCTCGAGGGTAATTTGCCTCAGATTGGAAACATATACATAGATATCATTTAAGTTTCACTGAAGAAATGAGAAATGCAGTCGGTACAACTCAAGAGGGGCTCACAGAATTTTTATTACAACATCCTTCTTTGTTTTCTATAGACGGCGATCAAGTCAGTTAAAAATCATCATCATCGTAATGAAACGTAACTGTTTAAGGTAATCGTAGTCGGATTTGGTGATATGACCGCAAAGAATAATCCATTACTGCAACAAACATCTCGTGGCAGAGACTATGAAAAAGAAGCTGTAGAGTTCTTCGTGAACAAATTGACCAAGTTCGGCCCTGAGCTCCAGGTAAACTTCAGTTGAAAACACAATGTACAAGTTCTTTTAGATCAAATCTCTACTCGGACATCGCTCACAAGCTGCTCCTGAAGTTCGTCTAGTTTCAGGTCGACATCTGAAAGAGTTTTGTGAATTCTTGCAATCTCAAACGGAACACTTTGTTGTAGAAGGAGATCGTGTTCGCTTAAAAGTAAAAATTAAATCCGAATGATTCCATTAAATGCTCTTATTTTAAGAATATGCCTGAACCAGATGAGGACTCAATTGAAATGGATGATGAAGGAAGGCCTCTCTCAGGGGTGAAAGCTAAACAAGCAGCTGTTGAATATCTTAAAAGTGTATTGGAACAGGTATTTTTCTGAGCTTGATGGTTTTAACCTTATGTTGTAGAACGATGATCAACCTATTCCATTAGACCAATTCTATCAAAGCTTCTGTCAACGCTTCAACCATACCATAAGGCAGGATGTAGCAACGAATCCAAAAGAACTTCTTCAATTTCTCAAGCTGAATCGTTCGCTTTTCTTCATTCGTAGTAACAAAGTTGGTCGTTTTGCATTTCTTTCTCATATGGTGTTTTTCAGGTTTCCTTGGTGAAAAATAGACCAAGTGAAGATGGCTCTGAAAATGGTTCTGAAGAGGAACAGTTAGAAAATAATAATAATCATATCTTTCCTCTGGATCAAAATGCTCTGAGTAAAATTCATTACGTGAAAGCGTTAAGACAAGCGAAGGTGAGGAAGGATGTTGTTATTTCACCATCATAAAAACATTTCCAGGATGTAATGGAGAAAATCTGGGCGGATGCCAAGGATAGTCCTCTGGTTGGATTGGATTTCAAAACAGTCACCTTGGGTGCTGATGGGGATACTTTTCTGTCATTAGGTTAGTTAAATTTCAATACATTTTTTATCATTCTTATTTAAGGTGTCATTGCATCTACTTCACTTATTGGAGTGTTTGATTTGGCATCAAGTGATGTTATGGTTATGGAAAGTGGAATGAGGGAGTTACTCGAGAATGACAGAGTGATTAAGGTATTTGTCCTCTAAGTCCATGAAGTTATCATTTATTCTATAGGTAATCCATGACGCTCGAAGAATCAGCTCCATTCTATCACATAAGTATGCCGTCCACATGAGGAATGTTTTTGACACTCAGGTTTCGGATCTCATAAGATCAAATGAATACAGTTGCTAATTCAGGTCGCTCATGCTATTCTACAGCACGATAAGTTTAACAAGCCTCTACACGATACTCGACCTATCACCTTTCTGAACCTTCAAAGGGTTTACTATCCTCAATCTATTTTACTTAGTGATGTAACTCCAAGAAAACTCAGTCAAAACCCGAAGTGAGTTGGAAATTATAACTTATATATACTGTTGTACAATTCAGCTGGGGTTTGAGACCTATCACAGATGAATTCTTATTGAATATAGTAGAAGAAGCTCATTGTTTGATATTTGCATTACATCAAACTCTTTCGAACCTCCTACCTGTTCATTTACGTGGCTTATTCGACGATAAATGTATTGAGGTAAGAAAGTATACCAAATTTGAAGCATAATTAAAATTCATTTTTTTCTAGGTTCTCTTAGCAAGTCCCACTAGGCCACCACCTTCAAACTTTTCATCAGGAAGTCCTTATAGGGCATCAACGCGTAGAGCTGATAGGCCGACACCAACATCAAGCTACAATACATCTTCATCAGGATATGAAAGTGTAAGTCCCAGACGTCGAATGGCCGATGCTTGTACTCAAACATTTTCTACGGGAGATATTCAAGTGCTCAATGTATACTACGAGTGAATTGTTTTTTATTGAATGATGTCTCGATTAGAAGTTTTATTCTCATCATCACATCTGTCATTTCGTTGAAGATATGTTCAGAATTTTATATAAACGGGACTGCATTTGATTAAGTCGAATCGTTTGAACTTTAAAAATTATAATAATTACTAGTCGTATTTGTTTGCTGACTCTATTATGATACAACGAATCTTATTTTTTAAGCTTTCCATGTCTATTTTCTATTGTTAAACTATATAGAGAAAGAGCTTTGAATGAAATTGTGATGATTGATTGCCTTATGAATAAATTTTTTTTAATTTGAATGATCTTTGAAATGATCATCAAATGAAATTCCTGCAACCGTTGTAAGCGTCCAATGTGTTCGAAATGAAAAAGCGTGGGGAGTGGAAGTAGACGTATCTTTCCACGCATGTAAATTTCAGAGAGTTGAAAAACCATTATATCAAGTTAATTATCTCGTACGGTTACACATTTGATACTAATTAGACAGGGTTTTATGCTTAGATATATAAAAATCTCTGAACACTCATCTACTATAACTCATTTTTTCTATTTCATATTAGTTCCCGAACGTCATTTCCAGGAGAAAAAAAATTAAAGCTATGCAATGACTATGTCCGTATTACTTGTTACAAAGATAAAAATATCGAAAAAATATTCTTTGCCAAAAGATGGAGTATGAACCACTTCTCACGGTATATGGGATTTTCTTGCTGAATTAAATCATTCTCATAACTCTCACTCTGTTTTATACCTTTATACGTAGCTTCATTGGCAGTTTTCAGATGTCTTGTGCTCACTATGAAGATGCTGTTGAGTATTGGATATACATTCCACAAAAAATTCTTTTGGTCGTCCATTTTCTTCTTTCTGTTACCAGTTGTTTTTCTAATGTTTTATTCCTCATTCGGTACTCGAAGCAGTTGTATTTTCATGGAAATTCCAAAGTAAGGAGTGTATAAATGATATATATATGAGCTATGCATATTCAGATTCTTATAAATTCCATTGTTGTTACAAACATCATCTACTCATCATCTCAGGCAGCCAATCAGGTTATTAGTTAAATTTTATGATAAACTAACAGCTATAATATAGCTCTTTCAACTGTTGATGTTTGTGATAGCATCAAATGCATGTGATCTATTCATTTCTAACTTTGTTTGTCTCTTGTTTCGACTTCCCAGTTGGACGAGCATAACAATGATTATGATGTTCAATGTTGGCATTTCGTTAGAGAGATTAAGTGCTACTTATTATGCCTCAACATACGAGAGGAAGAAACCTTATAAAGTTATCATTGCCATCTCTACGGTTTGTTAGACATTTCTTGTTTGTAAAGAATCCTACTTACAGTTGTTGTGCTGCGTTTTATGTATTTTATATATAGTTTACACATGGAATTTGAAAAGCCATAGTTTGTACTGCTCGTATTGGAGTTCTACTTCGCTCCGAAGCTTCCAAAACTTTTGTTGGCTCCATGTTTTCATAGATATTATACTAGCAGCAATTTATTTCGGCAATTTACGATGGAATATCATTGCTTCAAAACGGTATTATAGTCTAGATAACTTGTAGCAGGAAATTTAAATATTTCAGAACAATTTATGACGTATCCACACGCTATCAAATTAAAGAAAACTTAACTGTGCTGAACATTTTCAAACCTATAATCGCACTTCATCTTGTAGTTCATGCTATATTCTGTTTTTCTTTGATTCTGACAGGCTATCTAGTCAGAGCTTTTACGGATGAAAATGCTTATAGAACTATCATGATGAGCTTATCGGTAACTGTCTAGAAACACATTGTATCTCAAGCTCTTTTGTAGGTTTATCCGTTCTACCCTCTTCTTGCTCCTATAGTTCTTTTCCGTAACTTGCAGAAGAGTAAAGAAAGACGTGTTCGTGAAATTCATCAAATTCAAAACCCGGGAGATCACACTTCTAACTATTTTCGACAATTCAATCAAGCTTGGAAATGAAACTTCTCGCTGTATAAATAAACATTTGTACATTTCTACCAATTAGCTCTGTACTTCGAACAACTCCATAGTTTATTTCTACAAGGCTCAAACTTAAACTCGAAAACTGGAAGCAAAGTTTTATTCATCAGAAACATTTGATAGATATTGAAGAAAGCAATCTGGTTTGCTTTTTTTTGTTCACACACGTCAGAGCTTACAAACCTTTGAAGATTGTTGCAAGTGACATATTGGAGACGTACACATGTATATCAGTATGATTTTAAGAAATGACATTTAGTCAAACGGGTACAGATCGGCAATTTCCTGATTTACCCAGTCAATTCAAGGAAACATTTAAGAATATCATTCATCTCTTTTGTCCAAATTTAGATGATAGTACGCCGACTTGCATTTTTTAAAAATCGTTATCAGATGATGATAGATATGATGGGAACTAAAAAGATGCTTTCCCCGATAACATTAAATTCTTCAAAAGCCAAAAAGATTATGGCAGCAGTCGAAATCGGAAAAATGACCAAATTTGCTGATAATGCTGTTCCTGTTTCCAACGGATGCTTAACTAATTGAAAGTTCATCAAAACTATCAAAACAACTCTTACTGTACTACCTGTTCAAATTATGAGAACTCCTCTCTCCTCAAGAATAGCTCATAATTTACTAGTAAATGATCAAATTCGATTTTTCGGTATTCCATTGACATCTTATCAATAATTTTTTGAATTGCAGACGTTTGTCGGTTCAGGTGACTTTGTGTAAAGGTGATAGATGATGTGGTTGCCATTAATCAAATTTTTCATTAACAGACAAATGATAGGAGAAACAAAACCCGATTGCTGTCCAAAAAAGGATATCTTTGGCAAACAGGTAGAAAAGTAGGTGGAACATCTCCCACTCACGCAACGAATTAAAAGCTTATAGCATCAGCTTAAACTTAACACTTTGTAAACTTTCATTCACTTCTAACGATGATTTCGGAAGTCTTCAATCTCCAATCCCATTTAAATGTTTTTTTTGTATTTTTTCAGGCATGACAAAAACTGTCCTACTACAAACAGTAATGTTTGTAACTTGGTTTGTTTTGGCAGAGAGTGAGTATTTTCTGAGCAACTATAACTTACGAATTTTGCAGCTCAACAGGCTTCGCTTCTCAAGTATCCAGCTATTCCTCCCATTTCGGATTTACAAGATGTATGCTCTCAAGAAAAAAACATCTTTTTAGTTTGTTCCGAAATTAATTATATATTTCTTTCCAGCATTCACAACAGAGTGGAAAAAATCCAGTTTCGTTGGAAGGTAAGAACACGGCTTTCACGTCAGGTGAGTAATCACAAGAAAAAGGGAAAGTTCCTTTTCATTTCCTGGGAAAGTGTTTCTTAATAAAGCATGTTTTCAGCATATTCAAACCAAGATCTTTCTGATGACTTCACAAAACTACTCACAGATATTGCTGAGCGAGTGAAAAAGTCTGTTGATTAGTTTACAAATGCTAATTCATATTTATTGAACATTCAAGCTATGGCAAGAATCCGTTTTTGCCTGAGTCAAATTTGATTCCTTCGCGAGTCAAGAGAGAATCCACTTCGCATTCAGATGCTGATCTGAGAGAAGCTGTGCAAGATCAAGATGAAGAAAAGGAACCTGAGGAAGGAGTAAGAACAATGTAACGATGCAGAAGAAAACCATAAATAATTTCAGTTCATCAAAGAACCTGATGTTAATCACCATATCAGCGTAGATGAAGGTTTTTCTATTGCGCAATTTCTTCTCTAAACTCTCTTTCTTATCAGATACGGAAGAAGCGATTCCATCCTCGTCGAGTTCGAAACGAGATTACTGTGAGCGTTATGAGCAACACTACTCGTACTTCTGCGTTGGAGAAAGTAATACTGATGATCCAGTTCGTTTTCGTTAAAATATTTCTGATTTGTTAATTATTATATTTAGTCCGTCCGAAGATTTTGTCCATCCTATCAAAACAATTGTCCTGATATGGCAAGAAAGTCTCCCTTAACTCCTTGGCCAGCTGACCCTTTCTCTGGTCCTGTCAAGGCTATTCCTAAGCAAGATAGTACAGAAACAGCAGAAAGTGAATCAGTAGAAGTCGATGAAAAAACAGTTTATTATGAAGAATTGAGAGTAACTAGTTGATTTGTTCAATCTTTCAACCAATATTCTATTTTCAGAGAAGATTTCCATGTAAACCGGACTGCGATCCTCGAATTTTCCCTCATTGCACAGCTGAATGTAAATGCGATTATATCTATCCGATGGTTCAAAAATTCTGTAACCCACCACCTATTCCACTTTTCCTGAACACTTGCCGGTCAGTTCATTTTTCTTTTTCTCTCACCTATGCTCTATTAAAGCTTATGGTATAATGGTTGTCCAAAGTATGATCGATATCATTATGCCTCTCAATTCGTATATAATAAGGCCAACAAAGGAAAAGTTAGCCGTGAGTTTAATATAATTTATTAAATAAAACAATAAAAATATTTAGCTGGCACAAGACTCACAGATATACATCCTTATGGTATTGAAAGACCTAGCTTTTCACCAAATGCTCAAAGCGCACAGCCATTTCCGAGACCTCAGCGGTATGCCATCTGTGAAAAAGTTTAAAAGGTTTATTTCCAGAACGACAAGTCATCTAATGCCTATAATGCATGCTGCAAAGACAGTAGTGCAAGAGCCAGAATTGGTTATCCCACCTGACCTTCCAGTTTCACCACCAAGAGCTTCTGGAATAAAATCAGAAACAGCTTCAAATCAAAAATTGGTTGAAACGGATTCTAACTTTAACAATGAGCATAGATCTTCAACCAAAGCTTCGAGATCTATAAATGAGCACAATTCTGAAAACAGTAGGACGAGGTGAATAGAAAAGAGTGTGTGATCACGTTTTTTTGGAATAAATTTTAGTTCTAAAAGCCATAGTTCTCACCATCATCACCATCACAGTCACCGTTCCAGCACAAACTCTCGTTCAAAATCACATAAGAAAAGAAGGTCGAGAAGCAGGGAAACTTCCTTTGCATCTGCGTTTGAAACGGAACATAGTACGGAAAGTCCAAAGTCGACCCAACTTTCTCGCAAAGAGTTATACAATAAGCTTAAGTAAGTTAATTATCTTTCCTCTCCTTTCTTTTCATTTTAACTGTTCTACTATCAACAGAGTCCTGAATGATTTAACTATGAATCCTGTTGGTATAACGAAGAAGCTGGAAGATCCAGGTACAATCAGTAAGCTTATGGGAATAGCAGGAACAACAACCCAAACAGACGACCGACCAAAGTATGTTTAGCATCAGGAATTTGAAACTTTTGTTCTTTAGGGCTGCCGCGGCTGCCACGACAGATGAAGAGACTGATCCCTTTAAGGTTTTTTACGAGGCTTTTTTTGAAAATTTCTGATCATTTGATACAGAATGTCGACAGATGGTCGGGCTTAACTGATAGCCATGGAATTTATCATAGACCAAGAAGCTCAAGTCCTTTCACGAAGCCTGGTTATAAACACAAACTCTTTTCAAAAATAAAAAAAAATTTTTTTTCAGGCTTATGGGAACCTAATCCTGATGATCCTCACAGTCGTGATCCAGCTAACAAATATTGGTATCATCCAGAATCTGTAGGAGTGGATTGGTTGAATGGCCAAGTAAGTGGTTATCTATACTGATTTTAATCATAAACTGAATTAGTTTTGTAATTGATCAAACACAAATTTTTGTTTCCAAACTAATTGATTTCATATTGTTGAAGTCCCATGTGACGCTCACGTGAACTGATGAAATCATAAAACCCAAAACCATTTTCAATGTGAATTTCACGATGAGCGGTCATACTACCTTTTGTGTTTAAGATGACATGGGGTGCTCATTGGGCAGTACCAGCAGCAGGTGTTGGAGGAACGGATGGTTTCAGTGCGATTTACTTTCCAACAATTGGTAGTTTCCTTAATATTCCTGACGATTACGATTGAGATGAGATTGAAAAGATTACGGTTGTTTTAATTATTGTCTGTATATACTTGTATATGAGCTGCTGACGGTTGCTCATTGACAACAATTTGTTCCAACTTTCCTTGACATATATTGTTTCATTTATTTAATAAGTGGAATTTTGTTCCTAACAAAATTTGCAATGAAAATCAGCATTAAATTCACATTGAAAGCAAATAAAAGTTTAAAACTAAAAGAGATAAAGTTGTATTGACCTCATAACAACTTAAACTATTCCAAAAAGATATTATCTTCATAACTGAAAACTGGTTAATTCTTGAAAAAAATAGCGTTTCCGCCTCGATTATTTCCATAATTCCTTTCTTACCTTAGAACGTATGACGCGTTTATCTGGCAAACTCATACTTCAATATGCATTTTGTATAGTATGTGCTGTTTTCATTTTTGATGTAATTCTTAATTATAAGTCAGTTGATATTGTGAGTTTGAAAGTTCAACTGATTTTTGCTTTAATTTCTCATATAGTCATTCAAACGCGCTAACTCAGCTCGATCTGCTCTGGAACAGTGGACGCAATGTATGAACAGAGAAATTAAGCCGGATGGGAATGATGTTCATAAGGTTGCTATTTTCTATTTTTTGTTTTACTTGTTTATGAGAATAGATTTGGCATGAGGATTGGATGGCTGCAGCAAAATGTCAGAACGAAACTCTTCTGAAAGGGTTAGATATTGTCATTTTGGAGAATAAGAGATCTCAAAGATACCACATTCTGCCAAAAGATGTACGATTCCCCAAAAAAAGTAGAATGCTTTATCAATGCTTCAGAATTCAGAAAGTGTCATTGTAACATTGGGAAATAGCAGTGACTTGTCTCTACCTATTCAGCTTCAGCAGGTTACTTACACCTTTGGTTATACTCTGAAACACTGTAGACTAACAAGAACGCTAAAGCTCTTTTGCCAACATATGAGATAATTTACAGAAGTTAGGAAAAAACTCTGTTTTTTTCGGAGCTGATGCGGGAATCGATGTAAATAAACCCGATCTTGCTCAACTGGGAATGTTTTTTCCATTCGCTGTTGGGCCAATAAACGTGATGGATCCTGATAATGGTGAGATCATAACTTAACTGTACCGAAACTTACTTCTTGAAAGATGTTCCTAACAAACCGAAAACCGTAACTGTCGACTTAACTTATTTCTTAGATGGTATCGTGGAAAAACATGTGAGTTTGCGAATTTGAGAATTATTTGAAATTGATTTCAAGTTTTATGATGCTGTATGGATGAACTATCCCGATCATAATATTATTCGATCATTATTCAAAAACTCAGAAATGGATAAGAAAGGAATAGTTATATGTCAAATAAATATAGAGGTATTCCACTTCCTACTAGCATTTGCTGCATTGTCAATTACAGCTTGACTTTCCTCGTACCGATGGACTTTTGCTCCTCCTTCATGAACATATTACTCAATTGATTCAAGATGAACGATATGCCATCCTTCGAACAGAACAAGGGAATATTGTTAGGATGTATCTACTGAACATGGTTGACAATACATGCACTCATCGTTATTTTTCTTCAAAATAAAGTTCAAACCAAATTAAAATCTTGTTCCTATTACATTTATGCTGTAGTTACTAAGACGTTTGCAAATATATTTTAATATAACTAGTATGACAGAGGAAATAGTCAGGAACATATTGGGAAACCAGATCGAATCCTCACACTTTTGTATTTTCATATGCTTATCCATTTTCGCGGGGCCAGAGGTCATGTTTCATTGTTTTTGAAGATCTTTCAGTAACTTGATTGCTTCTACTAAACTGGAATGAGAATGAACATTTGGGGAGGAGATAAGAATAGCGGCTTCATAAAGGACTTCAAAAAGCCTAACAGCAACTTCATTCTCTTTTTAAACTTGTGTCCTCAGCTACTCGCTATGAATTGCTTTAAATCAAATTATACGGGATATATCCATATTACTTTACTAACTGTGGCTCTATTGATTTGCATAAACTATGTACTGGGAATTATTAAGGTAAGCTAACTACCCTGACTCTAAACGATTAATCAAAGTATACATATATAGATTGATGCGATAACCAAAAGAGAAAGAGCAGATGCTGCTCTGTTGGAATGGAAGTCCTGTATGTTAAAGCATGTAGCCGAAAACGACGAAGACGTTGATGAGGTATTGTTAAATAGTCCTCGCTCACTATGGAGTTCCTTATAAAGATTTGGAACAAAAACTGGAAAGCCATTGAACTATGCCAGAATAGTACGTTTCTGAACGAACTGCAAGTATTAGAACTGCCGTATTCTGATAAAGCCAAATATCAATTGAATCCTAAATCAGTTTGTAAACCATTTAATTGAAGTTTTACTTTCCAATCAACTCAAGATTGATCCAGTCACACTGGTTTCGATAGGAGTAGGCTACGACATTGAGGCAGAACGAAAACTAAAGAATGTAAGATAGATTTGGAAATACTTGACTTTGAAAATCTCAGACGTTACACTCTCCAGTTTTCTTTTTTGGTGCTGACCCGGTACAAGAAGGTAATAAGGAAATTTATGACTCGATAGGGAACTTCTTCCCACTAGCGGTGGGAGCCAAAGCGGGAGTGAAAGAAGCATCAGTTCTCATAAAACAAAGTAAGTACCAGTTAATCCATCATTCAACGATTTCTCTCACAGAAGGATACTCCAGGAAGAGAGTACCTCATGTGGATATTGTTTATTTTCTGAAGAATTTAATTAAGAAGACGGTATGAATGTTGTGAACAAATAAAAGAAAAGATAACTTTAGTTCTTCGATGCTCTATGGTTAAACAATGAAGGAGCTGAATACGAGATGCTTCCCTTGCTTTTGAGAGGATCAAAACTGGATCAAGCGGGAATAACAATATGTCAAATGAATATTGAGGTTTTCAATGATCCAGATTCAGAAACTTATGAAAGCTAATCAATTCCAGTTACATGTTCCCCGTATAGAGAAGAAGTTGCCTTTTGTACATCAGTTCCTGAAAAATATCGTAAATGAAGGAAGATACGTATTAATCCGACCTCATCAGGGTATTCACCTCCGAGCATTTCTGATCAATTTCGAGGACACACACTGTTTGAAGAAATATTTGTTGTGAACACTGGGAAACCTTTGACAGCATTAATATTAATAATTATATTAATAATTATCATGGTTGAGATGACAGATTTAATAAATTAGATTGTAATCAGAACAGCTCTGATTGAATACAAGATTCTCGTGAATTACTACAACCAAATGCTTCTCATTGAACCCCAAAATAGAAAATGAACTTACAATTTATACGTTCGTTTTATTCAGAACCCGAAAACTTTGACACATTTGTATACATTATCCAATTTGAATGATCGAACTTTAAAGATTCAAATACTTTATTTTTCAACAATGAACGCGCCCCATCTGCTTTTCCTCATCATTTTATTACTCAAGATTGGGTGGAGTGTAAAACCTGCTCTAAAGACCATTATTGTACTCGCAACTGTATAGATTGCAAAGTACAAAAACCTATTCAAATGAAGTGTATTTACAGCAATGTTCCGTAAGTCCATGTATGTGTTCATAAGAGAACGGTTATTGAGTTTGCGTACACGTAAACAGCAGCACCACGGAATGTGAACCGTGTGATATCATTGATAAGTCTAGAGTTGGATTATTGAATTGTTCCTCCCAAGATCCTGTCATTTAAATTCATGAAATTATTAAGATTATTCATAATCAATAAATTAATTCAATAAATTATAAGATAAGAACGTTTATGACCTCTCCTGCAGTACAGTTTTACCGACAATTTGGATTACGAAATACATTAACTCCCCGGAGCGAAGATGACCCTGGTGTAATTAATGATATTGCCGATTTCTTTCAGATTCATTCTTTTAGCTTCGTCCAACGAAGCATTCTGAATTTTCGGATGTCTATCGTTGATTGTATCAATATGAGTCGGGAACTGATAAGAACATTAGTTCCAAGCGTTTCATGCGGCTGTGGAGTGGACTCGGGCTTTTTGCCTTTTTGCAAGGTAAAGTTACTTTCAATGTTTCAACATGAACTGTTTTCAGTTGTATCGGCATACAACTATAAGATAGAAGGATTCTGTAAGAGAGTCGTAGCAGAAGATGTACGGAATATAGAAAATAATCGTGGTGCTTTCCTACCTTATGAGGACACCATCAGACAATCCGTAATACCTCTAATCTAACCTGACAATTCATTTGAATTTCAGCTCTCCGAAGTTTTCTCAATGGAAGAGTTCTTCATCGAAAAGTTTAAGTATTTGTTAGCTAAGTTACAGATTTTAAATTAGAATTTTAAGAATCCATGATCACTCTTCGATGAATACGGTCACTTACACAGGATATATAACTACAGAACTAGATCGCCTAGTTCTGATAAAGTATGTTGCTGGAAATAAGGAGAATATCTTCCTTTCCATTATGGAAATTGGTTCGTTTTTATGATAAGCTTACACAGTATAGAAAACTACAACATCAATGAGTTTAACAATCATCGAACCTTATTTTACTTAAAACTGATTTTTATCTAACTATGAAATGAGAAGAGCAGTGCTCTATAAGTTATAAAGAATGTTGTTCGAAGCTGTTATCAATTAAATAGCAAGTGGACACAGATTATAATCAACAATTATTCAAGATGATGTTCCACAAGCTCCAAGCATAATAGCTTCTGTGCTGAGTTCAAACAATGTGTCATGTTTTAATGGAGGTGTTTTACTCCCAAACTCCAAATGCAACTGTCCTCCTTTTTACGAAGGCGATCTTTGTCAAATATTGATGTAAGTATAACTATTCATTCATCTTGTTAAATTATTGCTACAGTTGCCAACATTACGGAATTTCCCAATATAATCAGTGCAATTGCCCACCTGGAATTTACGGAAATGCTTGTGAATCAAGTGAGTTTGAAGTGACAGTCATGTTTATTTATATGTTCCAGAGGGATGTA